CCGCCATGGCGGGATGTGAAACGCATGGTATTATCTGATAGGGATGGTGGAGGTTTAGGAATTAGGGCCGCATAGAGGATTTTATGATTTAAATGTCAATAAGCTCTTAGCTCTACAGGGTTAGGTGTTGGGGTAAGGGTCGTAAGGTATAAAGGTTGATTTGCTCGCGGGGGAGGCATGTAGAGGAAGGGCATGGCGGTGGGGAGATGAGGGAGGCGAGGGAAGGGAGGGGGTGGAAAGAGGGGAGGGACGGGAGGGAGTGGAAGGAGCGGAAGAAGGGGAGGGAACGGAGGGAGGTGGAGAGGAGGGGAGGGAGGTGCAGGGGAAGGAGGAGAGGAAACGGAGGCGGGGGAGGGTGGGGAGGGTAGCGAGGGGAGCGAAGGGGAGGGCGTCGCAAAGGGAGGAGTAGAGTAGAATCGTATGTATTGGGGTCCTCCAGGCGTTGCCAAGGGACGAGTTTAATAGAATTGTATAATTTTCGGTGTCCCGACTTTGCTCACGGCACGAGTATAAAATAATAGTATGTTCCCGGTCGTTGCCACGGGACGAGTAGAATAGTACAGTTGCGTTGCAATCGATTGCAATTCTTTGGCTTGCAAGCGATTCGATTGCAATCGGCTGGATTGCAATCGATTGGATTGCAATCGGTTGGATTGCAATCGATTCGATTACAATCGATTCGATTTCAGAGGAGGGACAGGACGGAAGGGAGGGAGGGGAGAAGAGGGCGGGGAGGGAGGGGAAGGAACGACGGGTGGGGAGGGAGGGGAGGGAGGGGAGGGAGCGGAGGGAGGGGGGGAGGGGGATTGCAGTGGAATGAATTGCAATCGATTGCGTAGCGTAGCAATCGATTGGATTGACATCGATTGCATTGTAATCGATTCGATTGCAATCGATTGGATTGGAATCCCATCTCTTGATCGTCGATCCTTGATCGTCGATCGTTGATCGTCGATCGTCCATCCTCGGTCGTCCATTGTTGATTTTGGATCGTCGGCGTAAGGGGGGGCGGGGGCTCCGGGGCTGGATGGGATGGGGAAAGGGGGGAGGGGCGGGGGCTTCCAAGCCCCCCCCCTTTCTGGAAAAGGGGGGATGGGGGTAGCTTCCAGCAGGGCGGGTCCAAGGGGGGGGGAGCTAAGCCACCCCACCCCCTTGGAAAAGGGGGGGGTAGCTTCCAGGGCGGCCAAAAGGGGGGAGGGGGGGGGGAGCTCCCAAGCCCCCCTCCCCCTCTGGAAAAGAGGGGGGGGGGGGGGGGAGCTTCCAGCAGGGCGGGTCCAAGGAGGGGGGGTGAGCTTCCAAGCTCCCCCCCTGTGAACAAAAAGGTGGTTGGGGGGGGGGGGCTTCCAACAAGGGCGGCTCAAGGGAGGGGGGGGGTAGCTTAAGCCAAGCCCCCCCCCTTTGCTCGGTCGCTGTGGGCGCGCTCTCTCTACTCGCTCTTTGAATCCTAGAAGCGCCCAAGACGGCCCAAGAAGCCTGCGAGATCGCCCCAAGGCGGCCCAAGAGGCCTCCAAAGGGGCTTCAAGTCGGGCCAAGAGGCCTCCAAAACCTGCACCGAGACGGCCCCGAAGAAGCTGACGAGGCCCCCTAAGGCTTTCAAGAGAGACCCACGAGGGCCATGGAAGGTCCCCAAGAGGGCCCAACTTCCCCAAGAGGGCTCCAGGCCGGCCCAAGAGGGACCCAAGACAGCGCACACGGGCTTCAAAAGGACCCCCAAGACGGCCCAAAGAGGCGCCACCAGAGGTCCCCACAGCCCTGAATAGGCATTCGCGGGGCCCCCGAGCTCCGCAAAAAGACCTGCGGCTGACGGGACATGGTTCGCAATGCCACGCGAGAGCGTAGATGAACAAGAAATACGATGAGGGACGACGAGGCGTTGCTTTCAATTGCCTTGCATTGCGCGACCGGGCGACTTGGGCCACGAGCGAGTCCGGGTGGTGGCTACTCGAAGGACCCCGCGTAGGTTCCCCAGGCGGTGCGTGCTCTAGGGTTCTCTGCTTCGGTGTGCAGAATTCGAATGGGTCGGCCGTGATTTCGTTTCGTGCCCGCCCCTGCCGCATCGTGGGCGCTCGTGGAGCCCACACCGTATAACTCACACTGTCTCTTCCCTTCGCACAGCTTCAAAGACGCCTTTCCCAACAGATTATTCATACCACCTGTCCTGATCCATACAACTTGAACTCTTAGATACCACCACATCGCCCGCATTACATAGTGTACGCAATGTAATTTCCACAGCGGAACTTGCACCGAAAAGCTTTCACCACGTAACTCACACCACATGGTTGCCACAGCATATATCGCATCGCATAGGCTTATCTGGAGAACTCTCACCGCTGGAGTTCCAGACCTCACTGTTCGGGATTTGCGATGGCTCAGATGTTTCTTGGCTTGCTGCCGTTGGGAGATGCTGGAAACCGCGAGGCTTCTGCAATCCTCGAAGGTTTCGGTTTCGGTTCGGGGTAAAGACCCCCCAGAAACAATTGTCCCTTCACAGCCGTCGGTTAGCGTTGTGTCGACGCAGAGGCGACCCCCGCCCGCGCGGGCGTTCGGAATGAACACGGCCAGTGGGCAGGACTCGGCCGGCGTTGAACGGGAACGCGCGATCTCTCACGGCTAAACGATCCGAGCGGTGTCAAAAAGCAACGCGCAGGCCAGAACGACACCAGCCGGCACAGGATCGCGCGAAGGCCCGCGATTTTGGTTCGACGTTCTTTCGGAGCGTCTAGGTGGCGTTCTCGCGCCACGTGATCGGGTCCGCCTCGAAATTCGAATCTAAACGCACCCCGAAAAAAGTTCCGGTGGTGCACGGATCTATCAAGCGAAGGCAAGAGCAAATAGAAACGGGCGAGGGGACTGGACGGGAAACGGCCAAAGTTTCAAGTACCGACAGATGCAAGGCATGAGGGACCAAGGTGCATGGCTCGAAGCGCCAGTACAGTTTAGCTCTACGCTGTTCCGCCACCGTGCTGCGGGCACCGAATAGTCCAGAAGTCTTCAGCTGTCAGTCTTGCCAGTGCTCTCTCTTGAGCCTCCCAACTGCCCCACTCGCAAGATCTCTTTGGCGCTCTTGGGCTCTTGTGGAATTCGGCGCGTGCTCTTCCCGCTGGCCGCAGAAGCGTTTTGGGGGGGAGCACGGCCTCCAACATGCTCCAAGCTAGTCGGGGCCCGTCCCGAGCCGACTCGGGCGCCTCTTGGCCCGTCGAGAAGAAGGACAAGGAAGCGGTGTAGAGAGCATCAGATCACTAACAGGGAGGCGGGGGAAGGAGAGGGCGCCTGAGGTAAAATAGGGGGGACGGAGAAGGAAGAAGTTGAGGTCGACAGTTCACCACACTGGCCTGGTCGCAGCGGCGCAGACCCACGCCGCGGTCGGAGGCCACCGAGGAACGCTTGAGGGGCCGAATGTGGGAGCAGCAGCAGCACGAAGGGCGAGGGCGGGGGGGAAGGGAAGCCGCGGGCGGCGGCGCACGCTGAGAGCTTGCAGCTCTTGCGCGTGTGCGCACAGGCCTGCACAGGAGGAGACGAGGAGGAGGAGGAGGAGGAGGAGGAGGAGGAGGAGGAGGGGCAGGGGGAGGGAGAGGGCGAGGGGGAGGGGGAGGGGGCAAGCTAGGTGCGCTCGCGTCATATCTGACGTCCTACCCCTCCCTCCCATCCCTTACCATGGCGCTGATTTTCTCTATCCGCGGACGCGTGTCGTAGCGGACCTGTGGCTCCGCGCGCGCGTGCGTAGTGGGTGGTGGTGCACGTGCGTGCGTGCGTGCGTGTGTGCGTGGTTGTCGTGGTGGTGGTGGTGGTGGTGGTGGTGGTGGTGGTGGTGGTGGTGGTGGTGGTGGTGGTGATGGTGGTGGTGGTGGTGGTGGTGGTGGTGGTGGTGGTGGTGGTGGTGGTGGTGGTGGTGGTGGTGGTGGTGGTGGTGGTGGTGGTGGTGGTGGTGGTGGTGGTGGTGGTGGGGGTGGTGGTGGTGGTGGTGGTGGTGGTGGTGGTGGTGGTGGTGGTGGTGGCGGTGCGGCGCGGTGGTGGCGGGCGGATGGGCGCGCGAGAAAAAGGCCCGCGCTGGGGCGAGAACGCCATCCTGAACGACGGAGGCCAAACACCGATCCGAAAATGAGGCCCACGCTGCAGCGGGAGCACGATTCGGAACGATTCGGGAGCAGAAATGAGGCCGGCGCCTCAACGAGAGCAGCATTTTGGGAAAAAATGACGCCGGCGCCTCAGCGAGAGTCGTTTCCCGGGATTTCCCGGGCATCCTGTGTGTAAAAAACAGTACGCGGAGGGTGCGCGGCCATCACCCGGACGCCATCAGGGGAAGAGGGAGAGTATATTCATATTGAGTAATTGTAGAGGGAGGGCGAGGGGAACTGGGAGGGGGAGGGGGAGGGTATCCTAGGGGTCCGAAGAGGTGAGTGGCACACTGATCCAGGGAGTGGAGGCACCAGGGTCTGCGGTGGCAAGGCCTTCGAAGGACAGCCCAAAGGCAAGGTCAGCCCCAGAACCAGGAAAGCGACCAACCACCGAATGTCATCAAGGGAGGGACGAATGCAACGCACATGGCCTGGGGCAGTGAGATCGCAACGTCGAACCAACGACCAGGGCCAAGCTCAACCAGAGTGGGCGGCAAGGCGGGCACCCATTTCACCACACAGGCGTCCCCAAAAGGGGGGGGGAGCGGTGGTGACCCGCTGGAGGAGTCCTCGGTTATGCCTCCAGAATTAGGTCGGGCATGCCCCCCCCTACAGGCGGATTCTGCAGGACAAATTAAAAATTGCCCCCAGAAAATATTCAAGAAGGATCCACAAAAGAATCGAAAAATCGTCCCCAGACCATTGTTTGACTGCTCTTGAAGATCCACCCTGTGGAGGGACAGGCCCGACAAGAAACTCCTGAAGGGGAGGTCAAAGGAGGTCAGCGGCGAGCGCCCCTGGCGACCGAACGATCGGCCAACCCGCTGCCGCAGGAGGAGGAAGGGGAGGCGGAGGAGCGGCAGGAGCTCCTGAGGCCGCGGCAGCAGGGCCGCCGCCCTCTGCCGCAGGCCCATGGCGGCGTGCGCGGCGCGGGCGAAGTGCGCCCGACGGGAATCAGAGAGGAGGTCAGGAGAGAAACCTCCTCCTCCTCCTCCTCCTCCTCCTCCTCCTCCTCCTCCTCCTCCTCGTCCTCCTCCGGTCAGGAGCTTTTGCTCAGCGTGTCGCGGCGGCGGTCCCAGCGACACGCCGTGCCCTGCGAACTGATGGCGTGTCGCTCCGCTCCGCGGGGCGGGTGGCTGGGGAAAGCTCGGGACGTTGACGCCTGGGCACTAGGAAGTGGTCAGCGCTTCGCGCCAAAGCGTCTGGTGAGCCAGCAGCGGCGGCACAACACGCTGAGCCAAAGTTCCCGGCCGCATCCATCCAAGCAGCCGTGAGGCGACATGGAAAATCGACGCGGCCGCGTGTTCTCCTGGGTTGCCAGGCCCTGGGGTATATATATATATATATATATATATATATAGATGTAGATATAGATATAGATATATATATATATATAAATATATATAGATATATAGATATATAGTTATAGCTGTAGATATAGATATAGATATAGATATATAGTATAGATAGATATAGATATATATATATATATAATATAATATCATATATATATAGATAGAGATATATATATAAATATATAGATATATATATATAGATCTATATATATATATATAGATATAGATATAGATGTAGCTATAGATATAGAAATTGATATATATATAGATAGATATAGATATAGATATAGATATATATATATATGTGATCGCGGGCTGCGGGCCCACGGCCCCCTCCCCCCCAGATGGGATGGGTTACAGGGTCTTCGGGCCCCCCCCCCTCCCAAGATGGGATGGGGGGGGAGGAGACGAGGAGGAGGAGGAGGAGGAGGAGTAGGAGGAGGAGGAGGAGGAGGAGGACGACGACGACGACGGCGACGGCGACGACGACGACCTCGAAGACACCGTCCGCTCCGGCTCCCTGAAGCACCGGAACACAACGCCACACCCAGAAGGAGGCGACGACGGTGAAGACACCGTCGACGACGATGTTCCTTTTCCTCCTCCCCCCATCCGCCTCTCCATCCCTCCCTCCTCGTTTTTGGCCCTCTCTTCCCTACCTTGCGGGGGGGGGCCACCACGCCACGCCCACGCCCACAGGGGGGGGGGGGGGCCATCGCGCGGAGGGGGGGGGCCCGATGGCACTAGACATTAGGGGGGGCCCAAACCCTCGACCATATATATATATATGTGTTGATACATACATTTACATACATACATACATACATACATACATACATACATACATACAGACAGACAGACAGACAGACAGACAGACAGACAGACAGACAGACATGCATGCATGCATGCATGCATACCTACATACATACACATGTACATAGACCTATGCCTATAATAAACATATACATAAACATAAACATATGCAAAAACATATACACATTCCGACACATATACATATACATATACATATACACATGTATAAATATACAAATACAAATACACATACATATACATATACATATACATATACATATACAGATACATATACACATAAATATACATATACATATACATACACATACACATATACATATACATATACATATACATATACATATACATATACATATACATATACATACCCGAAACGTACCCAACCCATTCTCTCCACGCGAGGCGGATATTTGCGTGAACGCTCCATACCACAGAGCACGTCTCCAGACATGCACGATCTGCGCCGCCCTCATGTCCGCCGTGTCTCCCGCGAGCCTACACGAATGACGACACTTGCGCGCAACGTAGCATGGAACCGCGAGATCTGGGCAGGATCCGCGCAGCCCCCCGACTCCCGCTGGAGCTCCCAGGAGCCAACGAAGTGGCGACAATTGCGAAGCTCGCAGCCCCAGGGAGCTGCAAGGTCTCAAATGGGTACGCGTGGCCCCCGACTCCGCCGTGCCTCCCAGGAGCCCTCGAAAATGGTGACGCTTGTACAGTTCGCAACTACCCAGGGAGCAGCGAGGTCCCGTCTGGGCGCGCGTACTCCCCGACTCCAGTGGACCTCCCAGTTGCCCACGAGAGTGGCTGCAGTTGCTCAGTTCGCAACCCCCCCGGCAGCTGCGAGGTCTCAAATGGGTGCGCGTGGTCTCCAGCTCCGCTGGACCTCCCAGGAGCCAACGAAAGGGGCGACAATTCCACAATTCGCAGCCACTCAGGGAACTGCGAGATCCCGACTGGGTGCGCGTGCTCCGCGACTCCACCATAGCCCAGAACGTGGCGATGTTTCCACAATTCGCAGCCCCCAAGGAACTGCGAGGTCTCGGCTGGGTGCGCATACACCGCGACTCCGCCGTGCCTCCCATGAGACCACGAAAGTGGCGACTTTTTCACATTTCGCAGCCCCCCGAAAAACTACGAGGTCTCGACTGGGTGCGCGTACTGGTCTCGGCGAAGTGCGCGTACTCGGCGACTCCGCCGTGCCTCCCGGGAGCCCACGAAATTGACTACGGTTGCGCAGTTCGCATCCACCATCCATGGAGCTGCGAGGTCTCGGCTAGATGCGCGTACTCCGCGACTCCGCCGTAACTCCCAGGAGCCGACGGAAGCGGCAACAGTTGCTCAGTTCGCAGCCACCCAGGGAGCAGCGCAGGAGGAGGCAAGAGGAGGGGGAAGGAGAAGTAGGAGGTGTGCGACCGCAGTGCTCTGTTCAAAACGAGAACCCGAACGCAGGAGAGCTCCACCTCGTCCATGCGTGCGGCATCGGGCCTCCATGAGGCCGAACAATCTCTTGATTCCGGTGCCGATGATTTTGCTGGCGCGGCCGCTGCGAAAGGCAAGGTGAATCCCAAGTATGTCCAGCTCGTCTCTGACAGTAATGCCGCCGTTTCCCAAATAAACGCCCACTTGTAGAGGGACAGAGCGCCCAGCCCCCGCGCCCCGAATCTCAACATCGGCCAACGGGTGCGCCAGAGGGGAGCGCGACCTGCTGCGAAGCAGACGCCCACTTCTGCGCGGGGGCACAGCTTCCTCGCCGACCTTGGAGTGCGGGGGGGAGGGGGGCGAGCTCGGTGGCCTCGTCACCGATGCCTGGGACGGGCGCTTGCTTCGCAGACGACGGTGGTGTGACTGCACGTGTTCTGCGCCGCCCGCCGGGCGTCAACGGAGAGTGGGCGCCCACGTCCTCCCGTAAGGAGGCCGACCAAGCCTCCCCGCCCCACGAGGCCCTCCCAGCCGAGGGCCGTCCGTTGCCTGCTGCGGGCCACGCGCCCGTGTCTGTGAAAGGCACGTTTCGCTGCCAGTTGCCCCTGAGATCCGAGGCTCCCCAAAAATTGGAGCAGGCGGTTTCTGGTTGTTTTCGGCCTCTGGGGGCCCTCGCCGGGCCTTGGGAGCGTCAGAAGACGACTCGGGACGAAAAACGGGTCCTGGGGAAGTGGTCCGGAGCTCCGGGGCCCACGCATCGAAGAAATTGGAACAGCCGGATGTCTGGGTGCGCAGGCGCAAGTTTCGGGCTTTCAGAAGCCAAAATGTTGAAGTCGCCCTTGGGAAGTGTTGTGAGACACCGCCACTGAGAGCGGGCCCCGAAGCTGCCTGCTCCCACCTTGCTTCCCCAAGGGCCCGTGCCTCGCACACCCTCGACTGTACCAAGGGTTTCCTGCATTGCAGAGCGTGCGGGCGGAACTGTGTAGACACTGCCCAGCTGCTCGCGGAGGTCTGTCCCTCCACCCTGACCCCGCCTCGGCCCCCTAAGGCGGGGCTGAGCGTGCTGTCGCGTCTCTTTCGAGGGCTGCCGCCGAAGAGCGGGATGCACTCCCCCGAGACGGCCTGACCCTGCCGTTCGGACCCTGTCCATCAGGAAGCTGCCCGCCAGAGCAAGGTCAAAGGTTCTCCTCCTCCTCCTCCTCCTCCTCCTCCTCCTCCTCCTCCTCCTCCTCCTCCTCCTCTTCGTTGCCTTCCTCCTCCACAGTCCCCCACTACTCCCCCCCCCTCCTCGCTCCCATCCAACCGCCCCCCCCCCCCTTGCCCCGCTGCTGCGGCGATGGATGCAGTCCTTCTCCCAAGGGAAGAAACAGGAGCTGTCTGTCCGAGAGCCCCGCTTGAGCCAGAACAACTTTCGAGGAGAGCTGGAACTGGGGAGGGGGAAGAGGGAAAAACGCAGGCTGTACATTGTTCCGGGGTCGGAGAGGAAGAGAGAGAGAGAGAGAAAGAGAGAAAAGCCAACTATCAAACAAACGCTACACATAAAACGGAGGGCGGGGATGATGAGGAGGACAGAGGCTGGCTGACGAAACGAGCCCGCGCGCCCCCCCTTTATCCAGAATATGTTCCCAATAACAATGCATGTCCATCGCCCCCCCTGTAGACTCAAACTTTCTCGTGTGACCTAGGCCCCATGCCACCGAAATGCGTACCAGCACTCCCCGCGACTAGCTAGCCATCCGAACAAGCCAGCTCTGGCAACTTTGCGCGCATTTCGTTGAAAACATGCTTTCGCAACTCCTGAATGTACCGCGCACCCGCGCGTGCAGATTGGCGTCAGTCGACCGCCGGGGCACTCGACTGGTTACTCTAAATCATGCCCTCCGATGCGAGCTTTCACAGTGTAGGTAGAGCTGAGAACCTGAGCGTTGTCACCCCGCCACTCATCGCCCGCGCGCGTACACGTGCAAGACCACTGCGATCACTCAATGTGAAGTTGTTTTCGGGTTATCTGCGAATTTCCCGATGCAATACTGCCGCACTGGCAAGCACAGCGTTGAACATCCCCCGCGCGTGCGTACGTGCGCACACTGATCAGATTGCGAGCGCGCGTGACCATGATATCTGCATGCCCCCCCGCCCCCCGCCGCCGCCGCAGACAAGGGTCACATCCCAACGCGCACCCGCATGTCTGCGCCGCCAATCCGCGCATCACCCGTCGTCGCCCAGAGCACCTTGCCTTACACCAAGTACCAAAGGTCAAGCGCGATGAGCCTCATATGTTGTACATGTGTCCTATATATAAT